ACAGGAAGAAAGAATTAGTTTGTAGAAAGAAAGATATAAAGCGATTTTAATCTCAAAGTTTAGGGGAAGATATAGAGTATATACACCAACGCTATTGTGATTGATTCTGAGCCGTGTCACCAACAGTTTACAACCATTGGTTACGATAGTCACGCGGACCCCAACAAAGTAGTCTGCATCTCCCAACATGGCTCAGACTAGAAGTTAGTGACTTTGTGGACTGATGCCACGTTTTGGTTTGGCTGCCCCTAGCTTTCTTTCAACCATCCCTAACACTAGTCAGCATTGCGCGTCTTGGCAATTGGTGTTCAGGCATACGTAACACATGGCCCAACCATCTCAGTTGATAAAGAGTCACAACCTGATCGACTGATTTACCATCATCCCTTAATACCCTGAGTCTAACCTGACTGTTACTTATCCGATGATCCTAGCGGATGCGAGCAATATTTCTAAGACATCTGTGATCAAATACTGGTAATTCACGAGTATTTTCTACTCTTAATGACCACGTTTCACAGCCGTAAAGTAGAACAGAACGAACTGCCACACAGTATACTCAAGACCATTAAAATGTATTAATTTTAAAATATTTTCAAAACACTGTTATCAATGGCAAAAAAAGACATGGAAATGTTTGTAGAAGCCTTACACCCACACAAATTTGTTCTTATCGAAATTGCTTTATGGTTTGTATTTCATTTGAATATTTAATGGGTTATTTATAATCCTGTAGATATATACTTTTCAATTGATTAATTAATAACTTCTATCCATGTACCGTTTTTGTTTTATATAAACGGTACTCTTGACTGTCTGTTTGTTTATCCGATCATAATATTCCTATGTTATATATGTTTAAACAAAACATTTATACATAAATTTGACTGCCAAGTCAAATGCATATCCTACATAGCTTACATAATTGATTTTTGTTTTGCTTTGCATTATTCTACTCATCTTCACACAGTTATATATCTCATTGTAATTCTTACTTCCACACAAACCGACAAAATCACTACAATCAATCCTATGCAAACCAAAGGATGAAATAACAAAGGAAAACAAATCAATCATTATCTACAAAATAAATTGTGCCAACTGCGAAAAAAAACACTACATCGGACAAAGCGGACGCCCCCTTCACCTTCGCCTACATGAACATCAATTAGCAGTCAAACGGCATGATATCTCCTCGCTTATATCAATACACGTGGACAACTGCGGACACTCATTTTATTGGAAAAATGTGGAAATTTTAGACAGAGGAAACTCCAAAAACACCAGAGAATTTTTAGAAGCCTGGCACTCAGGTCAATCAGCAATCAACAAGCATATTGAACTCAATCCAATTTGCCAACCAACCAGGAAAATAATGCACAAGTATAGGAACAAAAATCAAACCAATGGGAGACACAACCAAAACAAAGAAGTAAACAATGATAAATTTAAGGTCAATAAGAACCAGTCAACATCGAGGTGCACAGAACAGGCTGTGAAACACATATGGAGAAATTCAAACACTTCACTCCCATCTGAAGTTTGTGCTAATGATGTCGTTCAGAAGAAGAACAATGAAAGCTCCACGACGAAACCATCCAGCTCAGAGAACAAAACTCCACCAAAATCTTACTTCCAATAAACGTTATACTCTTTACATGTGTTCTGAAATATGTAAAACATATTTTGGATTCGACTTCTAATATCATATGAAATAAATTTAGTTACATCATAGGATAGGTCAAAGAAAATATCTGAAATGACCATTGGAATGATTATCACATTCAAGTCAAGAATGTTTATATGAAGTTACTAAGCAAAATAGTTGGATAAATTTTATTTTAGCAATTAATTCTATTTTATTATTCTGTCAATTTAATTAAAGCAAAACATTTTCTTATTCGAGAGAAGAAAAAAGAAAAAGAAAACTAAGCCCGTAAATGATCAATAATGAGACTGGAAAAAGAGAAAAAAAACACTTAATACATTTAGATTTGAGAAGAGTTTTGTAAATATTATTGTAATTTAGTAGTTGAATTCATGATTTAATTGAAGTTAGACCATCATGGAAAATCTAGAAGAAATGGATGACTAATTCGTCCTATTGTGAGACTCCTCAGTAGTTGCACATCTGTGATTGCACCTCGTGAGATATGAACTTAGAGCTTGTCGGCCTCGTGCGTGAGTGCACTGCTGTGGAGTTCCATACTAAGATGAAATGGCCATCCATTGCTTCCAGATTTTTTTTGGTGGTCTAACTTCAACTGACTCATGAATTCGAATTTCACACACTGGTTTATAACCCTCATTTGGTACCGGTTATTAGGTGGACACTCTCAAGGTCAGTCTAGTGTCACTCAAATGGTCGTCCATAAATTATAGTCTCACTATTTGTTTTTTCTAACATTTCAGTTCAATAAAAATAACTCATACTTATTATACATAGTTTGGATGTTCATTTGATTGTTTTGGTTGTATTACTGAAAAAAATTTAGATTATTTTATTAGGGAATAAATGTTTATTTTACAATGATAGTATAAAGACGGATACAGTGTGATTAGATCCTGTCTATGGAATGATAGGAAAAATAGTGTAAGGCCATAAATCACCAGTTTATGAACTTATAAATATTTATATTTTTTATATAGTACTCATAATGTATATTCAACGGTGTTAAGGACTAATGACTGTAATTTGAGATTTCAGGAGGCTAACGATCCTTTTTTCTTCTCAGATAACTCAGCGGTAACGTCTCTGACTATGAAGCTGGGTGACATGCGATCGAAACCGTCAGGAAGCATCAGTTCCTTCAAGACTGCAGGTTCATCTTGCTTACGAGTGCTATGTAGCACGAAACCTAGGTCAAACCGCTCCTTTTTCGGAAAAACAATTTACAGCTGACTAAATTCACTACAGAATGAAGATGATCATAATAATAATAATAATTTGTATACAATTAGTTAATAAGAATTTTGATTGTTTTTAATTTATTGAGTTACTGAGTCTAAATAGGCACTGACTTATTCAACGTGTGTGATGTGTGCTTGAGTTATTTGGCTTTAAACATTTGGCAGTGAATTTTAATCAGTCTTGGTCGGTAAACATACATCTTGTGTGGATTTTCATGATAGATAAATTTTGACTAGTATCGTATATTTAGCAGCTTAGTAGACTGAGTTTAAAGACACCGTGCTCTTGTCATCATTTAAATATCAGAATTGAGATACTGGCATATCAATCTGACAAATGAAAACATGAAACATTAGCTGTAAATTTCAATGTGAGCCGAAAATTCATCTATTTCAAAATAAAACATTATAATAAAATGATAACATCAAAGCAAAGTGTATAGGATGAACATATGTCATCACAAATGATGATTATTCAGTAATGAATACAAAAAAAAACGAGATAATTCAAACTCTTACTACCACTACTACTACTACTACTACTACTACTACTACTAATAATAATAATAATAATAATAATAATAATGATAAACTATCGGAAGAAGTTTAGTGTAGATTATAGTAATTTTAAGAGTTGAGATCATGTGTCAATTGAAGTTAGACCATCATGGAAAACCTGGAAGTGCTGGACGGTCGTTTCGTCCTATTGTGGGACTTTTCAGGGGTGCGCATCCACTAATGATCTGAACATTCACTATCTCATTAAGAGGACTGAATAGTTATTTCATTATCATTTTTAAATTTTTATCCATCTTTATATAATAATATGAGTATTCTGTAGTCTCTACTTTTCAATAATTATCCTACTATTCTTAATAAATGATTAACATAAACTTTAAAATAAAACACTTTCAAATATTTCATTTACTTTTCTTACTTACTAACTTCTATTACTCCTAATGGAGCATAGGCCGCAGACCAGCATTCTCCAACACACTCTGTCCTGGGCCCTCTTTTCTAGTACCACCCAATTCTTGTTCTTCGGTCTTCCTCTCCTACTTTGGCCTTCAGGATTCCGCGTGAGGGTTTGCCTTATGACTCAGTTGGGTGCTTTCCTCAATGTGTGTCCTACCCACTTACAGCACTTCTTCCTGATTTCTTTCTCCATTGGAATCTTGTTTGTTCTCTCCCACACTACGTTGTTGCTGATATTGTCTGGCCAACAGATCCGAATTATTTTGCGTAGACAGCAGTTAATAAACACTTGTATCTTGTGGATGATGGATTTCGTAGTTCTCCAAGTTTCCGCCCCACACATTTGTATTGAAAATTCTAATCTTTTTGTTGGTTGACAGACATTTTTTTTAGTTCCAGTTGTTCTTCAGTTGGAAATATACTGCTCTTGCTTTACCGATCTGCGCCTTCACAGATTATTGTCAATTTATTGTCAGTTTCATTACAATTTTATTGGCACAGTTACCTGAGGACCAAAAATAATAAAACAAAACAAAAATAAATATTTTGTTTACAGATTTCATAATAAGTTTAAAAGTCATTTGATTGTATTGTTGTGATTGATTAATTATTAGTTTATTATCATGATTGGAATAGGCATTTAAGACATTGGTACATGTTAGCCTTAAGTTAACCAGCTAATCAATATATGTCAAGGTTGTCAAGTTTATATATATATATATATATATATATATATATCATTATAGTATAAAAGTAATTGAAATGCCCACAACGGTAAGCATAATGATATTAGTTAAGCCTTTCATTATTACAATGGTTAAGACCATGAGTCAGTTGAAGTCAGACCACCATGGAAAACATGGAAGCACTGGACGGCCATTTCGTTCTATTGTGGGACTCCTCAGCAGTGCGCATCCACTTTCATTATTGTTCATTACTTTTAATGCTATTCTATCATAATTCTCTCTCTCTCTCTCTCTCTCTCTCTCTATCTATCTATCTATCTATCTATATATATATATATATATATATATATATATATATATATATATATATATATATATATAAACATTATCACTAAGTAATTATCGTTGTCTTTTCTTTCTACTCTCTAGCCAACAACAACAGCAACAACAACAAAATCAAGGAAATAATGAATTGTTACATACATCTTCTAGTACATTATGCTCATTTATCTCAGCTACACCTAATTGGACAGTAAGTAAAATATTGAATAAATAATGTAAATGAGAAAAACAAACATAATTTATTTTAAAGAATAGTATTTGATATAATCATTTTCAGGCTTTCCTTATCTATCCATGTATTTATCTACCTATATACATATACCATTGGTATTTTATACTGTGATTCGGAATACACGCTAAATGTATATGAATGAATCTTTAAGTGAATAATTTTAATTAAAATTGAATTGTGTCATAACTGGTCATTTTTAAAATGACAGTTAATTACAGTTTGTGTTGTGATTTACATTCAGCAATATACAATCAATATCCTTTAAGTCAAGATCTATAATGATTTTATAATATTTATTAGAAATACTCATAACGTAGTATAAGAAATAAAGTTACTATGTCTACGGAATATTAGTTAATCCCATAAGTTAGACATTAACACCGTTGGATGCCGGCTTAGTGGTCTAGAGGTTAAGCGTTCGCGAACAAGGCCGATTGGTCTTGGGTTCAAATTTCGCCGGAAGGATCGTGGATGCACACTTCTGTGAAGTCCCATACTAGGACGAAATGATAGTCCAATACTTCCAGTTTCTTCATGGTGGTCTAGCTTTAATTGACTCATGAATTTGACTATTACACAAGGTATTGGTTTATCAATTATTTTCAAAATGCTTTTAAAAATATACAAATCTTTATAAAGTACCCTTAGGTTGATGTATTCCTGAAATCTCTTACACATCTAGATACAATATAAACAATGATATACATAAAAATGTAATGACTTTCATCATTGTTTAAACATTGTCCTTAATAATTAGACAATAATTATTTACCCTCTATCTCTTCCTATTTAATGTCAGTACTTTATTGTTAAAAGTAAAAGAAATCAATCATAATATCAGTATGGAGTATCATGGAGTAATGGAAACATAGTACTATTCTATAGTTATCATTTCATGAAATATTCATTAGGAAATATGATGTCATATTATATCATGTTTTAGAATAATAAAATTATCCTTTCTAATAAATAGATATATCTTTAATGTCATCTATAAAACTACTTAAATAGTTTATTTCTATATAAATTAGTAGATTTTTACTATGGTTTTATTGAATGAATATATATATATTGTTTTGCTTTTTCAATATAGTAGTTTAACGTTATGTCAAATATCACAATATCAGTAGATTAGATGATTATTTAAGTTAACCAAATGCTTTTTCTTTTTCATGATAATCTAACAACACTGACCTCATATTCTTCTTTGTTCTTGATATATTCTTTTTTGAATTCTTAAAATAAATGAAATTATTATATATATATATATATATTAGAGAGTTTTGAAACTACTATCAAACTAGTTTGACATATGTTTTAATGTTGTTAAGTAAGTACTAGGTACAAATTAAACATGACCTTTGTTTTCTTTAATGATCAACAATAAATGTAACAGTGTTTAGAAGATGAATTCATGTATGAACCTATGTATTCACCGTATGTCAAAAACTAGGTTTCCTAATAAAAAGTAAAGTTTTCATTCACTTCACATAGTTCTTTTATGTTAGATGGTGTTTGAAGGTAGTCGACAAGAAACCCTAGACCCGAGTTTCGTGCTACTTGGTACTACTTACAACCACCATTTAATCTCAATATATAGTGCCCGCAATGTCGAGTCATCTAGACTGGTGACCATATTGCAACATGGTCGATAGCAATCGATCTGCACTAAATAAGGACTTGACACACATGACATTGATCATCACCCAGTGATCAATCAATTGTGAGTTCTTTTGTATACAACCAGTTATTGTTTCATCAAAACAGACATATATTGCAATATCAGAAACACAGATTGCAAAATCATATATTTTTCATCTTCTTTTTGGAATAGTGATATCATTTTGAATATGTTGAATTATTTTCGAGTAAACAATCATTTTCAAACCATAAATAACACTTAAATATTTAAAAAGAAGCTAAAGTTATTGATTTGGGTTATTATGTTTACAATAGGTCAATGAATTAAGATTTTTTGAGTATCTAAAGTCAGTTAAATAATTTGGTTATAAAAGTGAATCAAATAATTCCATCATTGTTATTAAATCAAGTCACAGTGTATGTGAAAATTCATTTGGTGTTGTTTTACTTGAATTTTCGCATTGATGTTTGGAACTGCAATTGATCAGTCTATTATAGGCATATGTGCATACTGTGGGTATTGCCTCGATATAGCCTTAAGTCAGAAGCATTATAAGCAAAGATGGATGGCGGTGGCTAGCAGTGGAATCCATGACGTGCGTTTCGTCCTGTTTGGGACTCGTCACCTGGATGTAACTGCATCTCAGAGTTGATGTACACTGTGGAACTCAAACCCACTACCATTCTCTCCAAACGCCATCGTGTTATCCACTATCCATCTTTGTTTAGAAGGCTTGTGACTTAAGGCAATATCGAGGCAGTACGCACAGGATGCACATATGCCAATAAGAGATTGATCAATTGCAGTCCTAAATAACAATTGGAAGATATAAGTAAAAGAATACCAAGTAACTTTAAACTTCACCTCATTGCACAAGCAAGTGGCTATCAAGACGCAGTAGCTAAGCGGATAACGGTACTGGGTCCGGGTCCCGGAGTGAATATCAACTCTGAGGTGCAGGTATGTTCAACTGACGAGTCCTAAATATGACGAAACTATCCACTATCCATGTGTGCCTAAAAATAGTGTATGTATGTATGAAATTGTTCAATATGATTCTAATAAATTCTATAACAAAATAATATTCAATTTAATGGTATTTAAACAGTAAACGTGACTTCTGTCATTCACAATCGTTATTTTTAACAAATCAAGTTATACTATTGGGATTAAGTTTTCCCTATTGGAATAGAATCGGGATGTTCCTATGTAAAATCTGAACCAATTAGGTTAACCATATGGAGTGGGAGGCAGTTAACTTTCAAAAGCCGAAATGCGGTACCATGAAGTGACTGAAGTTTGACGTTGAAGTCATTGGATGCCCGATCAGCAGTCTTAATATCAAGCCTTCTTCAAGAGAGCTGAAGTTACTATATCTAATACCTAGTGTTGTGGATGCTCACTACTGAGGGAATGTATACTGGGACAAAAAAATATTCAATGCTTTTCGGTTTTTAATGGTTGTCTAACTCAGGTCAGTTCATAATTTCAATAACATTCAGCTAACTTTATAGAACTTCATAATGATGACAGAAAATATCCGTAAGGTTTCGAAATCAAGGTAATAAAAGAAGAAATGCGTAGGTGATATTCAGTTGTAAAACTCTTGTGGTTGTTCCTTTGGAGTCACAATATCTTTACATCTCATTGTATGTTAGGTACTTAATAATGTATTAGATGGACTGAAGATCGTATATTTGCTTGGCTTATCTATCCCTTTACTTGAAGCAATTAACAGACTATCAAGCTGAATAAAGTATATTTCAAGATTAACCACACATTTTGCAAAGAAAAGTTTGCCACTGACAAGTTTCATGTCGAAGAATCATCAATATTAAATTATACTTTAAGGTTGTTTTTTGATGAATTTTGAAGTTGATTATGCATACAGTTTTACAAATCTTAGAACTTTTACTTCGATGAGATTGTTACTTTTCAGAATGCTGCACTAATTGGTGAACATTTATGGAATGATACAACTTCTACGGAAACGTGTTATGTTGATGAATCAGAATGTACTGTAAGTTCAATGATAGTCTCATCTTTTTTTTAATTTCATATTTATAAGTCATTGTATACATTTAAATGTTGATGAATTAACTGTGAAACGATGTCCAATTTACTCATCAAACTACTGATAGATGATTGATTAAGATCTTGAACCGATTGATGTTACACCACCATTGGAAACCTGGAAGTACTGGAAGACCGTTTTGTCCTATTGTGGGACTGCTCAGCAGTGCGCATTCCCGATCCCGCTCGTGGGATTCGAACCCAGAGCCTTCCGTCTCGCGCGCGAATGCTGAACCTACTGGACCACTGAGCCGGCCAGCAACCAATGGTGTTAATGTCTAACCTTAACCAATCCACAAAATTGCGCGATCATCTTCCATTGTACTGAGGTAGATAACTGTCTCTACTCATCACGGATCAGCTCCACTGGTCACGGCTTCTTACTAGGACTCTAAGAATTCCCTCACGCAGTTATTCAGTAATGAGCACATGGTAATTATCAGTATAGGTTATATAGATGAAATGTAGCAGTTTGAGAATTATAACTGTTTGTCTGATTCAACTGGAATAATACATGTTACGGTATGAGTAATGTTCTCCGAATAATATTACAGTTCTATTTTCAATCAAAATTCTTTACGTTATTTGATTGTATTATTTTAAAAGATTTAAGAGGATTGTTCAATTCACTTTACGGTATGATTTTACCTAGACAATCATTGAGTACTGTGGAGTGATGAATAGATATTTTATATTACTATGAAATTCTTAAGTAATCTAAGGGTAATTGTGATTACATCTCAGTCCTACAGGATGGTAGTCACGGCTCGGATAGCTCAGTGGTAACGTCTCTGACTGTGAAGCTGGGTGACACGAGATCGAATCGGCCAGGGAGCACCAGTTCCCTCAAGATTACAGGTACACCTTGCTGACGAGTGCCAAGGAGCACGAAACCCGGGTCCAGGGTTTCCTGTTGACTACCTCCAACCACCATCTAAGGGTAATACACATTATATGAGGCATAAAGATTTTATGTTTTACCTTCAGATAAAGGGGGGAGGGTTCATAAATATGCACATTTGACTCTTCAGCTGTAGTCAATCTATGGTGTAAATTATATTTTTATTACATTTTGTTTTAGGTTTATAATAAAATAACTTATTATATAAAAGTCATATTGAAAAAGCCGCATTATAATGTTGATTTAGTATTATTAAATGTTAGTTTAATTACCGTAGTTACGAAATATAATTAATGAAACAACTTTTAAATTTCTAAAAAAAAAATGCTAAAAGCTGCTTAATTCAAAGTAATTAGAAACATACGTTTTTACTGTTGCGGACTAACACAGAGTGACTATATAATTGACTACAGAAAGGAAAATATTTATTAAACAAACTTGGAATTTATATTTTACTGTGGTCTTTTAATGTCCTCGTATTTATTTCAGCTCAAGTATTTTGATATGTTAAAAACTCTAGTTAGACGTTAAATCCCGCCTCAATGGTCTAGAGGTTGAGTGGTGACACATAAAACTGAAGGTCCCAGGTTCGACTCTCGCGTGTGAGGTCATAGATGTGCACTGCTGAGGAGTCCCATATTAGGAAGAAAAGGCTGTATAATGTTTCCATGTTTCGAATGGTGACCTGACCTAGATAAGTTCATGATATCAATGGGGGGGGGGTTAGGGTTTCAGATTTTGAGTGTTAATTTGCCTGCTGTATATAATCCACAGGTATTGAATTGAGCATTTGATGCTTTTTTTCGCACTACATTGTAGTGTCGGCTATTATGTTCACCCTACATAACTTATTCTAGCTTCTGGGCAGGCCAATTCATCCATTCTTCTTGAGTTACGTTTTACCTTGTCAATTAGTCACTAATCAACTCTGATTTTTTTATGAGCGTATGTGTGCGTACGCTTCTTATCTTATTCATCACATATGTGTACCTCATTTTTGTGTGACCATAAGTATTGATTAACGCTTGGTTAATTGGAGTTGGCTCACACGCATCTCCTACGCGCCGTCTTGTTTCACTCTTTTCTACGTCTCTCTAATTATCTACTCCGATCAAATATATATATATTAGAAATCCATTATCGTATTTGACTTGTTTTAATTCCGTTATTCACTAACGCAAGTTAAGTCGATAATTATATATGAAGATAGGTGACATATGTATTTCAATAACATTCATACGATTTAATTGAAGTCAGATATCAGGCCACAAAAATACGATAACTTTTTTAAAGACTTTCATTTCGAACGTTTTGAACAGTGTAACATGGTATTTCTACCGCTTGTTATACTTGATATTTGAATTTCACGCAAAACTGAGTTCTCAATTCTAAGTGGTTAACCCTTATCAGTCAGTCAGTAACAACGTAGAACTTCGTTCGTACGTACGTACATCAGTTCGACATGCCACACCACGTTAACACAGAGATTCAATTGCTGATTCAAATCCCATAATGGTAGAGGTAATAAAAGTATAAACAGTAATCGGAAACATTAGGGTTTGAAGATGTTATACAAAGAGTATAATCCAGTGAAATAAATTTGAAAAGATAAAAAGCAAAAGGGACATGAAGAATTCAGAAGATTAGAATTTGGTAGAACACAAAGAGTGGATGCAGCTGCTCCATTGCAAACGATTTTGAGCCATGTCAGATTAACCCCTATACTGTAATTTCATTTGAAAAATCTATTATTGTGTACACTATCAAAAACAATGGTTAGATAATTTTAATAATAATAATAATAATCTTATCTTAATTTTAATAATAGAATAATCAGCCAACAGATGTGAGATAGATATGGAGGTTGTTCCATTGTTGTTTTTTCACGGTCTACATCATTTACTAATCTTAATTAAGCATATGACCTTAATGTAGATTATTAAATTAACACAGTTATTTATTTCATAATAAACAGTTCACATATATATATATATATATATATATATATATAATTTTAGCATTTGCAAATGATGTAATATGTAAACTGAAAGTATGATATATGCTACTTATATTTATCAACATAAGTAGTATGTAACATTAATAGGAAATGGAATGCTTGACAGTAAAAGATTGGGAAGATCAAAGTAAAGAGAATAAGAATGTAAACAAAGAGTAATTGTAATGAGAGATGGAATAAAGATAAGATTAAGTTTGTAAGAGACAATTGATGGTTGATGTACAAATGAAGTATTTAATGTATAATTTTCAATTTTGAATTAAAAAATAAATTGCTTATTCCCACCTAAGTATTAGTTCATTATAGAATATTTTTCAAAGCTTCAGATTCATTATAATTTGATTTAGTTACTAAGCCTAATTTATTCTATGTTACCATGTAAATAGTAGAATTTAAGTGGTATTACATAGATGATATAAATGTATACAGTTGAACAAGTGGGAAATAAATGAAAAACACGACAATCTGACGTGTACACATTAGTAGTTCTTCTTTTCTTTCATACAACAAAGATGATATATTATCATGGATTTATTTAGATCTACCTCCCCGCACCCACCCCCACCCCCCTCCTAATAAAAAACAACAACAACAACAACAACTAGTTTTGTAACCAGCTTTCATTCGCCATAATTGTCTGTTATCTTTTCAATGAATCAAATATAATTTTAATATACGAAATATTCTTATAGACATTTTATAATCAAATCTTATTTATTTATAATCATTCATTTATTGGCACTTGGTTCATTCATTCTTTTGTTAATTTATCTACATCTATATCTATCTATCTATATATATCTCTCTATATATATATATACTTCCAATTCAATTCATCTTACACCATCATCATCATCATCATCATCATCATCATCATCATGTGCTGTAATTTTGTATTAGATTTTGACATTTTAAGTTCATTTCTTTCTTTTTTTTTCTATTTATTTATCTCTCACAGTTACTATATAATCATTATGTAATTTGGAGTTTGTTTTTATAGTTCAGTTATAAAATGATCTTAATTAGTTAAATCAAAAAGTATATAAATAGACAATAAGAATGTTATATCAATTAATATGAATTGTAATTAATCATTGAATAGTAACTAGTTTATTGTATTTGTCTAAACTTTTAATTGATACTTGAATTCTATCTGATAATTTACAATGTATCTTGTAGTGTTTCTGTTTTGAAAATGATAAAGAAGATTCTTGTTTCAGGTGGATACTTTTAGTTATGTTATTGTTCTTTAAAGTTGGTTAATTTGACTTGAAAGATTTCATTGCTGTGTTTGTATGAATGGGTTGATTGGTTAGTTGGATTAACTGAAGTTAAACATTAACACCATTGAATACCAGCTCAATGGTCGAAAAGTTAAGCGTTCGAGTGCGAAACCGATAGGTTCTGGGTTCAAATTTTGCAAGGCGTAATCGTGGATGCGAACCGCTGAGGAGTCCCATACTAGGATGATTTTTCATGGTGTTCTGGCTTTAATTGATTCATAAATTCAACTATTAAATTGCTAAAAATGATTTGTTTAATTTATCCATAATTGTTTGGTATTCTGAATGATTTAATAATGTGTGAACATTAGTTAAATTTTAAGTGATAGAAATTAATCAACAGGAAACTGTAGACCTATACTAATCGGATCTTCAGTCATAAAAAAACATATGTGTATTTTCAATCTTCATCACTTATTAAATGGGAAATAATAAAAACTGATATTGTCGTGGCATTCTCGTGGTATTCCAAAGGAAAAGACTCGAGTATCATTTTTCGATAATACATTATTTAAGATCACGGAGAACACCAATCCAATCACACAAGATGGAGAAAGTCTAGGAGAAGTGGAAAGTTTCAAATATCTGAGTAGCATCATTGATAAACGTGGAGCATCTGATTGAAACGTGAAGCAGAGAACTGTCTAAGCAAGGATAGAATTCTTACAATTGAAGAACATATGAAATTCAAAACAATTGTCAATCAATATCAAAGTCACCATACGAACGTCAATACAGTTTTATTG